CCCCAAAACCCCAAAACCCCAAAACCCCTCCATATGAAATTCGATATCACAAATAAGTTGCAAGAATATATTAAAATTGAAATCAAGTTATGAAATAAAGAGATTAAAGTTTTATTGTAAAGTAAAGTAAAAGTTAAGTAATTGATTTGCATTTGAGCAAACCAAAATGAATAAATAAAAGTAGTTATTAGCATCTCAACCTGATAAGCCGAATGATAAGGAGGTACCAAATCCGGCTCCTTCTTAGGTTAAAAGAACGAGAACGCATTCTTTTGGATATGTGTCTGGCTTGATTGAGCAGGTACATGTGATATCATCATCGACTTAATCAGAATTTTTCTGAACTGAACATTTATCGTTACCTGTAGAGAATTTAAACTTGTGGCCTGGCTCAGTCGTAACAGTAACTTTACCTGTGTAGGTTTTGGTTTCACTTAATGTTCCTAAGAAAACAGCATAACCATATCTAATACCTCCGATAAGATTTGATTTATCTCCAAAGAGGAAGGCACCATTTTGATCGTTTGAAATGCTAAGAGATTTAGAGTTTCTTATCTTGACTATATCCGAATCAAGATTTCCAGTCAGTTCATAAGCAGCACCTTTTTAAGAAATGTCTGGGAGCTATGGCTTAGGAGGCTTAGGTGCTTATTTGACAGTAGGCTTCAATTCTTTGTTGCTTGTATCATGGCCAGTAAGTCTACTAGTTTTTCCTAGAGCATCTGTAATTGCAATATCTTTTGGAGCATTAATTATGATTCCGTAATCTCTAACATCGTCTGATGTCCACTTAGGGTAGAATTTCAAAGTATAAGTGCCTGCAGCTAGAGGTTTATCAACTAAGTTAATGGAAAGTAATGATTCTTCGTAATAATAAACTGATTAAACTTCTTTGCCGCTAGCATCCTCAAGTCTGAGTAACAAAATGGCTTACTTTGATTTACAACTATTAGGATACATTCTTGCTGGATAAGTCATTGCTCTAATTTACATTGGAGTTGATTATGGAAGGGTGAATTTATAGACTGCTGGGGTATTTTCATTTGCAACCAAATCGTTTCTCTTATCATACCATGATGTCACAAAGTTGTCTTAGTATTCACCAATAATTAATAATTCAAAAGCTTACATGACTTCATCAAGTGTCATATGAATGATACCATCGTCAGCAATAACTAGGTCGGCTTGCTATGCATAGGTTTTACCATTTGCCCCTAAAGTGAGCCATAGAGATGAGCCATCCTTAAAAGAGCCTGAGAAATCTTTATCTGTTCTCCATGGATTCCTAATCTAGAACAAGTTAATCTACTGACTTCTATCCTTATTATAGAGTGTTTTCACTGATAATAATGAGTATTCGTGAGAGAATGCAAGATTGAATATACCAATATCTTTATCTCCATTTGGCGAATCTGGAGTTGAGATGCTCATTATCCAATTTTTTGCATCTGCTTGTGAGACTTTCGTCCACAAAGCATCCTTTTTAATTTATTTTAATTCCAATTGTTAACTTGGTATGTTTTATAAGAAGCTATACGCTTCTTTCGATAAACCTCCAACAATCTATTCATAGTTAGCATTAGTCTTGGCCCATGCTTTTTCAAGAAGAGATCCCCAAATAGATTTATCAGTTCCTAATCCAGCAAATACTGGGCTCTTCCCATAGTCTCCAGCTGGGATAGAATCATCTACTACCACAACTTGAGGAATACCTTTGATATACACATTGAATGCATAGAGGCCGGCCCAGTTTATCTCAGGATTTACAAATATCTTTACAAACCTTGAATTTATTTCAGCTATAGCAGATATACCTGCTAAGTAGTAGCAGTCTCCGAGGGCACCTTACTTAATATCGTTTAAGTAATTAGCAGAACCGTAGAGTGTACATTCTGGACATAGATTGTTTAATCTTTCCCATTTGTTTGCTACGAAGCTACCGAGACCATTACTAGTGAACTTTGTTCCAGTCCATTAGATTGATGATCCATCAGCAGGGAAATTGGTATCATTCCAAAAGTTTGCATTAGATGTTACTATCTTCTTGTAGTCTGGAAGAGCTGCTTTAGATCTTTCGATTGCAGAAGTGCAAGTTTTAGTCACTTGTTTGGCCTGAGGTAAAGCTTTGATTAGCTTTTGCATATTACTATGTGATGCTGTTGCTACAGATACACCAAGTATAACCAGAAGGAATGATTTGGAAACACTCATTTAGCAAAATAAATTAAATTATAATTTTATATGTATCACATCAAATAACCTTAAACTTAAGATTTTAATCCCCTTAATAAATCATAGATATTTTCCTATCGTGATCTAATTCAATTTCTAATAAATAATTAATGTTAATACTATAGTCTGTCAATTTACCTGATGTGGGGTTTTGGGGTTTTGGGGTTTTGGGG